CATTTTTCACAAGTGACACTGCGTTGTCTTGGTGCTGGCTTCCCCTTGTGCCCGGCATGCTTTCTTCTTGCCTCCACTAGCCCCACCATTTGCAGGAGGCTTTGTGCCCCCCTCCCCCCAACGACCATTTGCCTTCCCCTCTGATATTCCCTTTCATCTCCTCTGTGTATGTCGCATGTGCTTAGATCTTTACGTGTTATATCCTTCATTAGAATGTAAGCTCCTTGAGGGCAGAGATTTTGTTTGTTTTTCATTTTATCTGCTATTTGGCATGGTGCCCTGCACGTAGTAGGTGTTTAATTATGAATGATTGGGACTTTAGATGTAAATCTTCCTGAAAGTGATTATACTCCAAACCTAACCTTGTCTTCTTTATCAAAGTATATTCAAAATTAGCTTCCTCATCTAGATAACCATGACCAGCCCCTAATTCTATGGCTTGTAATAATCATATTCTCTTCATATGTAGCAGTAATTTTTTTTTGGTGGGGGGGTGGGATCAGATCTGTGATTTTGCAGGAATTCCTAGGGAAGAAATTGCATCTCCCAATGCAGATTGGTGCCTGCTCTACCATTTATAGTCTTATGGAGTTGCTGGGGAACTGAGACACGGGCAGCCAACATATGTCAAAGATGGGAGGCCACCACCACAACCTCATATAACAGAATACGCTTAGATAAATATAAAGATGCACCTCCCCTCTCTCCCACTCTGATCACCCCTGCAAACAGCCCTTGGGGTCAGGGGCCAAGATCGTGCCCACCCTCCCTTGCCTTGCAGCCCCTCACCCATATACTGCAAGGCTTGGATTTTTCTACCTTTTGAGGATGGGAGAATCAAGATCTCTTTAATTGCAGTGGCTTCTAAAGAACCTGGCATTTTCTTACAAACCACTTTTCTGTCAGGGGGTTTTCAAGGCTTCAGACGTGTGTGTGGGAGACAGTAGATTCGTCACCGGAGCTGCTTTATTAGAAATCTCTAAATGGGCCAATGTGCCTCTCATCCTTTGTCTTTGACTGGTTTGATTGCCATGTCTCCAGAAGACGTTCAGGCTGCAAACACATATTCATACGACTCCAGAAGATGAATTGCCCTGATTTTATTTTTCCTCCTGAGTGTTTTGAGGGAAGAGAATGTTGCCTGACTGATCAATACCCTTTATGGTAGATCATTTTTCCACCAGTCCAAGAAAAGGCTTATATTTCGTGATTCGGTATGTGCTTCCTTTTGGGGACAGTGAGAGAGGTTTCACTTTGGGGGGTGGTTGTTCTTTGGATTCTGGTCTGTATTTCACATAGCTCCTTCTCCTCATTCAACTCCAGAAGCTCCCCATTGCCTCCAGGGTCAAATATGTCACTTCTGTGGAGCCTTTAAAATGCTTTCCCAGCCTTGCTCCCCCCTCTCTAATAACCTCTGCTTTCCTCTCTCAGGTAGGCTTCCCTTCTCCCTTGAAGATGCAGCCCAAGCACCTGTTCCATCATGCCATTGCTGGGGCCTTCCCTCCCAGTTTCTTTGTGTTTATTCTCTTTCGGTTCATTCTGCATATGCTTACATATACTTGTTGTCTTCTCATTTAGAATGTTAGCTCCTCACGTGGAAGGATTGTTTCTCTCTCTGTGTTTGTATTCTCAGTGCCTAGCACACAGTAGGTGCTTGATAAATGCTTGTCAATTGTTGATTGGTTTAAACCTGCAGAAGAAGAATTTATTGGGGGCATTGAAGAGAAGACCAGAAATAAAAAGGAAGGAAGGAAGGAAGGAAGGAAGGAAGGAAGGAAGGAAGGAAGGAAGGAAGGAAGGAAGGAAGGGAGAAAGAAAGGAAGGGATAAAGGAAGACAGAGAGGAAAAGAAAGAGAAAGAAGAAAGAGAGAAAGGAAGGAGGGAGGGAGGAAAGGAGAAAAATAAAGAAAAAAGAAAAGGTAAGGAAAAGAAGGAAGGAAGAAAGAAAACAAAAAAAGGAAAGAGAAAAGAAAGGAAGAATAAAGGGAGGGAGAAAAAGAAGGAAGAGAAAAAAGGAGGGAGGAAAGGGATAAAAAAGAAAAAGGAAAGGAAGGAAGGAAGAACAAAAGGAAAGAAAGGAAGAATAAAAGGGAGAAAAGAAAAAGAAAGGAGGGAGGAAAGAGAAATAAAGAAGAAAGAAAATTAAAAATAAAAATAAAAAGTAAGAAAAAAAGGGAAGAGAGAAAGAAAAAGGAAGGAATAAAGGAATGGAGGGAGAAAGAGAAAGAAAGGGAAAGGAGGAGGGAGAAATAAAGAAAAAAATAAAAAGTAAGAAAAAGAAAAGGAAGGAAGAACAAAAGAAGGAAAGTAAGAAAAAAGAAAAAGAAAAATTGTCTCCTATAATTTGAAATCCCACCTCGATCGACAGGTTCCTGGGTTGGGTTGTATTTTTTTTTTTCTGACACTCAAGGTGTGATCAGAGATTACCTATCAGCCCACAGGAGAGTGGAGAGTTAATTAAAATTTTTGCTCCTTCTCCTGGAAAGAAGTGTCTCAGAGTTTGATAAGCGCCCGGCATTTTGAGTGTTATTTGTGCGCTCTCTCTTCCTTAGCGAAGTGTCATGGAGAGAAGATCAAAGAAGCTTTTCCAACTGGGGACGTGCCAGACTGACTCTTGTGCCACACACTCTCTTAGCTAATGGGTTTCAAGACCCCTTCAGGTGGCCGTGGGGTTCATCTTCTCTCTCCTCCATCCTCTTGTCCCTGTGTCCCTGGTGCAAAAAACAGCCCTCTAATGGATCTTTAAAGAAAAACACATTGAGCCTTAAATCAAGACCTTTCCTTTGGTGCCAACTCAGATAATTAGGGTGGGGAGAGTCTGGCGCTGGGAAGAACCCCGCCAACATTTCTGTGTTACTTTTAAATGTGCCCACAGGACCTCCTAAATTCGAACCTTTGGGATTTGTCCTCACGATCCCAGTCCCTTCTGGCCACCGTCCCATGCCCTGGCACAAACATCTGCCAGGAGCCTGCTGCCTGCAGCCAAATCACCCACGAGGGTAGGCAGGGCGTAAGCCTGGTTGAGCAGACGGGTCCAGCTCCCGCAGGGGGCTTCATTCATTGTCTGGGCACCCTGCGTGCCCTCTGAGAGAGCTGGCTGAGGTGGCAGACAAGCCCAGCCCTCCTCAAATGGTTCCCTCGCCCCTCTCCCCGGCAGCCACTCAGTGGGCTTTGTGCCGTTGGGATGCTTGGCCTCGTTGCCATGACTACTATCTGATTGTGGCTGGTTTGTCACATTTCTTGATAAAGTGGGAAGGTTATCCTTGATAGACCCAAGTAATCATAACCTCAAGAAGTGGGAGAGAGTGTGCGATTTAAAAAAAAAATTAGAAATGCCAGGGGTTGGGGGGAGGCAGTGCTGGAAGGGAGGAGGGAAAAATCACCAACAATGGATGAGAAAGTCTTTTCTTTCTCGAGATGGTGGCTGCAGACCTAGGGAGGGCAGGGGGATTCGGCTGGACCATCCCGGGCTTCAAGCTGGGAAGGGTCATCTTGTGGGCAGGAAGGGACCCGCACGTGCGATTTGTGTTCTGGCAGGAGAACACAGCTTGTGTGGTGCCCTGCTGTGGGTGTGATGGAGTGGGTGAGTGGGGCTCCCGAGACAGAACTGGGTTGTCCAATTTCTTTCTGCATTCAGTGGCTGCTGCCTTGGGTTCAGAATAAAAGGCAAAATGCAGTGTTGTTGACTAGAAACGGGTGCCTGTTAGAGTGAGTGAGTGTGTGTGTGTGTGTGTGTGTGTAAGGCTTATGCTCCACAGGTATCCTTATGCTGCCTGGAGCATGTTGGGCAGACCTCTTGTGGTGAACCTACAGGAAGGTGTAGACGAGTTGCTCAGGATGGGCAGACATGCCCGGGCTCAGCAGAGTGTGTCTAAACATGTGTGTGATTGTCGTAGAGAGAGGAGGCAGGGAGCCCCAGAGTAGCCGTGTGCTCAGTGATCCCCAAGTGTGACCACACACACTTCATTTCAGGCATCCCAGGCCACCCTCCGAGATTGTAAGTTACAGACAAGTTGCCGATATAATAATAACGTAATAATAGTGATAATAGCTGTATAATTATATAGTCCTTCAGGTTTGCAAAGCTCTATAAGTACGTTATCTCCTTCGACCCTCCCAGCCTCCCTGTGAGGTAGGTGTAATTATTATCCCCATTTTACAGAAGAGGAAACTGAGGTGCAGGGGTTTGCGCAGGTCACAGAGTGTCCACATCCCTCGCTCTTTGTTAGAGCCAGAAGTGAACTTACAGGACATTGTCCCTCATCTTACAGAGGAGGAAAACGAGGCGAAGGCAGGGTTAAAGCATCTCCCTGGGAAGCTAGTTAGCACCGTAGTCAGCCAGGCTCGCTAGGACGCAGGGCACGTTTCTGGGTCAAGGAGCAGGCATGGGGAAATGGACAGCTCTGTCCACAGCCCAGCGTGGGGGACACATGGGATCAGTTCAAGGCAAAGGGCTGTTCTTGGCCGTTCCCCAAGGCTGTGGCACATGGGAGCCAAGGCTGGTCTTTTCAGGCATGAGGTGGTGGGCCCCATGTTCATGTCCTCCTGTGTGACGAGAGGAATAAACCACGGCCCTTTTGTGTGTGTGCACGTGGGTATGTGTGCTCATGCTCTGGCTGGATGCAAATCACTCAGACTCATTATAGGCATAATGTCATTTAACTCCCCGGGAAACCCTTTGAAGCCCCCCAGCATGCGGCTGCATGGTTTGAATACCTTTTTGTTTGAAGCAAGGTTAATTGTGCTTTGTTAATGAAACTCCCAGGAGGCCCGTGGTCCAAGTGCCAGGCAGGCAGAATTCTGGGCTTGGTCCTCGGACGCGGACCCCTCGCTGGCTCCATGGACCGTCGCAGGCGCCCGGCTCATTTGGCCCATTATCTCGTCCCCTCGCCAGCCATCTCCAGTGGAGGCGGGAGACCGGCCACCTTTCCCTGCTGCCACCCCCATCCTCTCACCCGCTAGAGGGGATGACCCTAATGACCGGCTTTTTTCTTCTCCAGGGTGTCGAGGTGCAGACAGATTACATCCCGCTGCTGAACTCACTGGCCGCCTATGGCTGGCAGCTCACCTGTGTGCTCCCTACACCCATCATGAAGACCAACAGGTAATGGGCGACCATGGGTGTCTTTGTCCCAGCAGATGGCCCCGAGGCTTCTTAAAATGTGAAAAGCAGAGTGAAGCAAGCATTTATGAAGCACCTACTGTGTGCTGAGCATTTTACAAATAGTAGCTCATCTGATCCTCTCAAGCGCCCCGAGAAGTACTTGCTGTAGGTGTCCCCACCGTGCAGGTGACCTGACCACAGTGCCCGAGGCAGGATTTGAACCTCAGCCTTCCCACTTCCTACCTGCCTTCTGTCCATGACACCATTTGGAATCTTCTTGCAAAAGTTGGACAGCTGTGGGCAGATGCAGGTTGGTTCAGATGGGCTGAATCGGTATGGCTGAACTTGGAGTCAGTAGTCCTGAGTTCTAATTCCACATTGTGAGCCAGATGACTGTGGGCAAGTAATCTCTCTGAGGGGGCCGCTTAGTTAAAAAGGGGACATTCAGGGCTGGGACCACCTACTTCACAAGACTGTTCTGAGTAAAGCACGTTGGCAGCGGCTTCAGCCTCTGAGGTCCCTTCTGAGTCTTAGAGCCTGGGGAGAAGATTCATAGAAAGATTGGGAATCCGGACCTCTGTTAGGATGAGGGGCAGGATAGTATAGCGTAAAGAACAAGGACGGCTCTGTGCCTTAGTTTCCTCATCTGTAAAATGGTGAAGCTGGGTGGTGCAGACAATAGAGCGCCAGGCCTGGAGCCAGGATCCTGCCTCAGCTGCTTCTGTCTAGGTGACCATTAGCAAGTCATGTAACCCCCATTAGCCTCAGTTTTCTCATCTGTAAAATGGGGATAATAACAGTCCCACCTCCCAGGGGTGTTGTGAGATCCAAATGAAATAATATTTGTAAAGTGGTTAGCACAGTGCCTGACTTTTTTTTTAATTGTTATTCAGTCCTTTCTGATCCATTGTGACCCTTGACAAAGATACTGGAGTGGTTTTCCATTTCCTTCTCCAGCTCATTTCATAGATGAGGAAACAGAGGCAAATAGGGTGAAGTGACTTGTCCAGGGTCACACAGCTGGCAAGTGTTTGAGCCTGGATTTGAACTCAGGTCTTCTTGACTCCCAGGCCTGCTGCTCTGTCCACTGAGCCACCTTGCTGCCCTATATCAGACATATAGCACATGCTTAATAAGTGCTCATTCCCTCCCTATTCCCCTTAAAATGGGGATGATAATAATGCCTACAATACAATGAAATATTATTTGTAAAGTGCTTTTTAAACCTTAAAGCACCATATAAATGCTGGCTGTTTATTGTTGTTATTATTATTCAGAACTAGAACTCCTTGAGGTCCCCAAGTCCATCAGATGGAGAAACTGAGGTCTAGAGAAAAAAGGTAACCCAAAGCCCCAGGTGGCTGAGGCAAGATTCAAACTCAGATCTTCAGATCTTCCCAATTCAGTGCCCTCTTTAATGCCAGCATCAGGACACTTGGGTCCTAGGCCAGGAAATTGGTAGGCGCTGACTCAGTGTCTGCTGTTTGCCAGGTACTGGGCTAAGTGTGGGGAATAGAAGGAAAGGGGAAAAAGAAAAAAAAAAACAGTTCCCCCAATCTCAAGGAGATCGCAGATGAATGAGGGGAGACAGCATGAAGACGATTGTGTGCAAACAAGATATATATGTATGTGTATGTGTATAAAAAAATATATATATATACACACACATACACATACACACAACAGACACACACCCCAAGGATAAACTGGAGCTTATCTTCAAAGAGAAGGCACTTAACTGGGCTTAAGGCCTGGGGGAAGATGCCCACTTCCCCTGAGCCTTGGTGTCGTCATTTCTAAAATAAAGATAATTAGACCTACTCTTGGAAACCCCAGTTCTTAGGAGAATCGGGTGACATCATGCGAGAGAGAACCCTTGGAAGCCTGAAATTTAAGGCGTTGTCCATTGACTGTTTGTCGTGATGGGCCCCTGCCCGCAGCCCTGAAATTATGCTTACTGTTTCTGTGAGCGTACACGCTGGGCATCCTGATAGAGTGAGAGCTTCTTGGAGGCAGGAAGGGGCTGTTTTCATTTTCGTCTTAGGGACCCTGGCTGGGGATTCAGAACCTCAGGGGACCTCCGAGGCCCCGAGAGGCGGCAGCCTGCCCAGGTCCCTTAGGGAGTCCTAGGTGATGGAGCCAGGATTTGGACGGAGGTCCTCTTTCTAACACTGGTTAAGCTCCACACTTAGAAGCAGGACTCGAACCCTGTGTCTGCAGAGCCCGTTCCCTTCTCCCTCACAATGATTGACTCATTGACTGTCATGCCCTCGTCCTCCCTCCCCATGTGCGATGTGGCCTCCAGGCTGCTCCCGGGGGCTCCACGCGGCAGGCCACGCCTCCCGGCTGGGCCACCATCCTATCCTCTCTGAGCTGGGGCTCGAGGCGCGTCCCTCAGTCGTCCTCCTGTCTCCCTCACGTTTGAAGACAGCTTGAGTAGCCGGCTTTTATTACAGAAATTTGCAGAGGAGGGATGTGGGGAAAGTCATCCCCAGGGCAAAACAAAGCACACTCATTATGGGAGAGTCTGATTTCCGTGAAGGAAGAAAATTGAGACCGCCTTTTTATGTTTTAGGGGGAGGGCAGTGATGCTGAGTGTTCAGCCTCGCTTACTGCCCCCAGACTCTCTTTTTTTCCCCCATTTAAATGAGAGTCAGAAGCACTGGACCACGGGCTGGGCTTGATTAACGGAGGCCCTGGAGGGATCCCAGCTGGCTGCTGCCTTGCTACACCCTTGACGTGTGCACGTTAATCAGCGCTGCCGCGGGATGAGCTGTGACACACTGCTTACGCCAAAGGGGAAAGCCATGTTGGGTGATGGACGGGAGGCGGCAGTAGGGAGAGCGATTCCAGTCTTCAGGAGCCCTTCGGCCTCTTCTTCATGAACCCAGGATATGAGCCCAAGGCGCGGCCTCTTCTGCAGCAACCCATGAAACCCAAGTGTTTTAATCAAGATGCAGTGACTTCCCCAGGGTCACGCAGTTACCGACTGTCAGAGGTGGGATGGGAACCTGTGTTCCTGACACAGGCTTATCACTCAGTCCTTGAGGCTGTGACAGCTTCTCTCTTCTGTGTATTACATAGAAGCTAATGAAAGAAATGTTCAGGGTTCAGGGTCATGAAGATCTGGATTCAAATCCAGGCTCTAGCATTTATTCCTGTGTGACCCTGGGGGAGTCGTTGATCATAGGATCATAAATGTGGGGCAGGAAGGTATCTTAGAGGCCATCCCTGCCTACTGACCTCCCTGGCTTCTTCAGTCCCGACAAAATGCCCACCCTCCAGAGGGAGCCTTCCCCAGCCCCCTTAATTCCAGTGCCTTCCCTCTGTTCATTATTTCCTGTTTATTGTTTTTGTTCATTTGCATGTTGTCTCCCCCATCAGAATGTAAGCTCCTCAAGGGCAGGAACTGCCTTTTGCCTCTTTGTATCCCCAGTTCTTAGCACAGTGCCTGGCACATAGTAGATGCTCAGTAAATACTGATCGCTACTCTTCTTGTATCCCCGGTGCCTGGCACATAGTAGGTGCTCAGTCAGTACTGCATGCTACTCTTCTCGTATCCCCGGTGCCTGGCACATAGTAGGTGCTCAGTCAGTACTGCGCGCTACTCTTCTTGTATCCCCGGTGCCTGGCACATAGTAGGTGCTGTTAGTACTGTGCGCTACTCTTCTTGTATCCCCGGTGCCTGGCACATAGTAGGTGCTCAGTCAGTACTGCGTGCTACTCTTCTTGTATCCCCGGTGCCTGGCACATAGTAGGTGCTCAGTTAGTACTGAGCGCTACTCTTCTCATATCCCCGGTGCCTGGCACATAGTAGGTGCTCAGTACTGAGCGCTACTCTTCTCGTATCCCCGGTGCCTGGCACATAGTAGGTGCTCAGTTAGTACTGCGCGCTACTCTTCTCGTATCCCCGGTGCCTGGCACATAGTAGGTGCTGTTAGTACTGTGCGCTACTCTTCTTCGTATCCCGGTGCCTGGCACATAGTAGGTGCTCAGTCAGTACTGCGTGCTACTCTTCTTGTATCCCCGGTGCCTGGCACATAGTAGGTGCTCAGTTAGTACTGAGCGCTACTCTTCTCATATCCCCGGTGCCTGGCACATAGTAGGTGCTCAGTACTGAGCGCTACTCTTCTCGTATCCCCGGTGCCTGGCACATAGTAGGTGCTCAGTCAGTACTGCGCGCTACTCTTCTCGTATCCCCGGTGCCTGGCACATAGTAGGTGCTCAGTCAGTACTGAGCGCTACTCTTCTCATATCCCCGGTGCCTGGCACATAGTAGGTGCTCAGTCAGTACTGCGTGCTACTCTTCTCGTATCCCCGGTGCCTGGCACATAGTAGGTGCTCAGTTAGTACTGAGCGCTACTCTTCTTGTATCCCCGGTGCCTGGCACATAGTAGGTGCTCAGTACTGAGCGCTACTCTTCTCGTATCCCCGGTGCCTGGCACATAGTAGGTGCTCAGTACTGAGCGCTACTCTTCTTGTGTCCCCAATATTGATTGTTTGTTACTGCCGTACATCTGAGATGATTGAGCTCTTTGAGGGCAGGGACTGTCGTTTGCCTTTGTTTTGCCTGGTGCATAGTAGGCACTTAAATTGTTAATCGATTAACTGACTTCTTGTCTAACTCCCTCTTTTTACAGATGAAGAAACTGAGACCATGGGAAGTGACATGACTTGGGTAATGCAGGTAGTCACACAGAGGCAGGATTTGAATCCAGGTCCTTAGAACTCCTGAAGAAATCTTCCCGCTCCTCCATGCTATGACTTATGTGTCGTAGGCTGTTCCTTAGACTTAGCTACAGATCTGCTGATTTGATGGCTTTGTGACCTTGGCCAAGTCATTTCCCTTCTCTGGGTCTCCATTTCCCCGTCTGTAAAATGAAGGGCTTGGATGAGACAGTCTAAAAAAGTCCCTTCCAGTCGACGATCCTAGGGGGTCTTCAGTGGGATGCTCTGGGCCTCGGCGGAAGGAGGTCCCACACTGGGAGTCCCCCACCCTTATGAAATCCTAGATTATTTTTGTGTTCCTGTGTAGCTAAGCTGGTTCTGAATGGTCCCTTTGGCAATGTCAGGTCATGCCAGGGTGACGGGCTTTTATTTGTAGGACTGACTTCACCAGGATACCCTAAATACTACCTCTGACTTTAGGGGGCTGCTACTGAAAATCAGGGAGCCGTGACTGAGGGGCTCAGATGAGGGTTTGTCAAAAAAACAAAAGCTCCCTGGAAACCTTAACTCAGGAGCTGGGTTGGGGTTTGGAATTTCCTCCCGTGTCCATGCGTGGCGCTTACCCAGGGTTCAATGTCTTACAGGGAGGGAAACATGGCCACCAAACAGATCGTCTTCCTTCAGAGACCCTCTCTACCTCAGAAAGCCAAGAAGAAGGAATCCAAGGTGAGTGTGACCTTGATTCTTCCCTGGGTCCCTTCCCAGGCGATGCCCTTTCCCCTTCCCGCAGCTGAGGGGACGCCAAGTGCCCAGGCGATGGCCGGCGTCCACCCGGCCGAGGCGGAGGCCCGACGACATCCGGGGGGCCCTCGTCCAGCCATCCTCAGTGGTCGGCCCCAAGGAGCTGGAGGAGAGCCCTGCTGGAAATTAGACAAACATGCAAAATATTCTTCATGGCTATAAATAAGGAAATAAATCTGGCTGGAGGCAGACGAGGGGAGGGGAGCCTTGAACCAGTGCCAGGGTTCTGTGTATTTTAATCTCATTATGAGAGGGGCTTTCCCACCACCCCAGCCTCCTCTCCCTGTAGGGTTTTCTTCCTCCCCTCAGATTTGTAGCCTGCACAGTTAGGAATTTTCAGCATATTGTAAGGTTTAAAGGACATGCGGTGACCTCAGCCTCGAGGGGCCTCTGTGGGGGCCCTTCCTGCCACCCAGGCCCCTCTGAGGGGCTCCAGGGCAAAGCTGCCTTCCTAGCAATGCTTTCACAATATTAGCCCCATGGCAGGATGGAATCCCAAGGCAGGAAGAAAGGAGTCATCTGGGACAGGCTCTGAGGTCAACTCCAACCCTCTCAAACAAACGAGGAAGCTGAGGCCCAGAGAAGTTAATTCCAAAATCTCACAAGCAGTAGCAGAGCCAAGATTTGAACTCAGGTCCTCAGAATCCAGATCAGCATTTTTTTCTGCCTTTCTTGATAGCGTCTCTGTCTGTCTGTCTGTCTCTCTCTCTGTGTCTCTCTCTCTCTATCTATCTCTCGGCAATTGGGGTTAAGTGACTTGCCCAGAATCACACAGCTAGTGAGTGTTACTTATGTATCTGAGGCTGGATTTGAACTCAGGTCCTCCTGACTCCAGGGCCGGTGCTCTATCCACTGTGCCACCTACCTGACCCCAGATAGCCTTTGTTAACCAAGGGTCTCAGATGTCAGTCAACTAACATTTATTAAGCACCTGCTATGGGCAAGACACTGTATTAAATGCTAGATATAACAGAAAAGCAATTATCTTAATGTTCCACTGAGTTTCTTGGCTAAAAAAAATTGTTGTTCAGTTGTTTCACTTATATTTGACTCTTTGTGACCCCTTTTGGGGGTTTTCTTGGCAGAAATCATGGAGTGGTTTGCCATTTCCTTCTCCAGCTCATTTTACAGATGAGTAAACTGAGGCAAACAGGTCCAGTGACTTGCCCAGGGTCACACAGCTAGTGAGTGTCTGAGGCCAGACTTGAACTCAGGTCTTCCTGGTTCTAGGCTGGGCATTCCATTTATTGTACCACCTAGCTGTACCCCCCCCAAAAAAAAAATTGAGTATCTCCCAAGCCTGGGAACTCTTTTTGGTTCTACCTTAGGTCTCTCTACTTTGAACTCAAGTGCCTTTGCATTTTTCTTACCTTTAATGGCACAGTGAAAGGGATACCCTACCATTCCAGCAAGTAAGACAAGGTAACTGCTTAGCTTTGGGTCTCAGCACTTCTGTGGCAGTGTGACGCAGTGGCCTCTGAGCTAGAAAGTCCAGGATTCAGGTCCCCTCTCTGCTCCAGCCTGGCAAAAAGTGGTGGAGGCGGGCACCGGGCCTGGGTGTGGAGATCTAGGACACGTGTGCGTGGCTCTTTCTGGGTTTCACAGTCTTCCTCGTACGCAGGGCCAGATGATAAGAGGAGAGCGTAGGGATGGGGCAGGGGTGGGGAGGGGAGTGGTGAGGAGCAGAGCTGATTCAGACGCAGTGGGTGCATAGTAAGTGCTTTCCCTCTGCTGGGAGACTAAAGACATAGGTAGGAAACAGTCTCTGCCTATACCAAGCTTATAATCCAGTGTGGGAATGGGACGCAAACACAGATTACTCTAATGCGGAGTACTGCATGATAAATGCATAAGAAACGTGAGAAAGAAAGGACTGTGTGACATGTGAGAAGTGACCTTTGAGTTGGGCTTTTTGTGGGAGGAACTCCTGGAGTTGACGTTCCCTCTATAAAGGCAGATGTGGGAATTCCTTCTACCTGTGCAGATCCCTGACTGTCCTGACAATTACAGCCTTAGAGAGTGACCCAGGGCAGAGAGAGGGTAAGTAACTTGGCCAAGGGGACACAGGTAAGACATGCCGGAGTCAGAACTGGAATCCAGGTCTTCTTGACACTTTACAGTAAGGAGGAAGAGGAGACATAATGGGCAATTGGTGGATGAAGAGAGTAGAGGGGGGTGCATGGGACGTGCCACCCCAACCTCCTCTCTTTTTATTGAGGTAAAAACTGAGGCAGAGAAATTACAGTGACTTCCTTGCTCAGAGTCACACAGAGAGTAGGTGGCTGAGGCAGGATTTGAATCCAGATCCTTTCAGCTTCCAATCCGGTACTCTGTTGACTTCACTGCTTTCACAGTGCTTTCACAATGTTAGGCCCATGGCGGGATGCAAAGGAGGTGGGATAGAAAAGAGCCTGACATGATTTGAGTATAGGTGGAGGGGAGGAAGAGGACATGAGGTGAAAAAGGCCAAGTGTTGCCAACTTGTGGGCGGCCTCTGATGCCTGGGAAAGGGTCTGAATTCATCAGCCCCCAGGGGCAATTTGGGGCAAAGGAACAACATGACCAGAGTCACACAAAAGAGAAAGAATTTGGGCAGCTCTATGCAGGCTGGAGGGAGGGAGGAAAATGGGAGAGGAGAGAAGGCCACTCAGGAGGCCGTTGGAAGATGGCAGCCGGGGAGCCCCCGGGAGACTGGTCAGACGTAAGAGATGGGGCTCGGGGCAGAGCTGGGATATCTTGGTAACCAGCCAGTCTGAATTATTCTCTCACACTCACATGCACACCTCCCTCCCCACAGACCCTATTTTTCTTTATTCTGAATGAAACAAACACCAAATAAAACAAGCATTTCCACACATAGACTGGAATGCTGGGGACTGTTTGGGGCCTTTCTTCATATCCCCAGAACTTACAATAATGCCTGGCACATAGTAGGCACTTAATAAATGCTTGTGGAACCCGACTGATTTTGTGGAGCCAAAGAAGAGGGTTGTGCGTGAACCTGTGAATCTCTATTATGCAGACTTTGCTCCTCACCAGAGCACGTGACATGGAGTGGATTTCCCCAGAGAGGACTGTTTACACGGTGATTTGTAAGTGATGGTGGAAGTGGGGAAAGGATAGGAAAGTAAGGCTATTTGTTCGCACAGTTCTGGGACCTCCCAGCAGTAACAGGGAGTGAGCAGGTCCTGTCACAATGTGCAGACTTTTTCCTCTGCCCTGTGCCCAAGTGAACGAGGGATTGGGTAAGAAATAGGTAAGGAGATGCAGAGAGGCAGGATAGATGGATGGATGGATGGTTAGGTAGATAGACAGGTAAACGGATAGATAGACAGGAGGATGGATGGATAGATAAATGCATAGATACAGAGATAGGAGAGAGAGAGGAGATGGATGGGTGGATGGATAGATAGAGACAACATACAGGATGGATTGATAGATAGACAGGGTGGAAAGATCCAGTCTGGCACTCTTATCTGCTTGGCCTCCATCTTCCAATGGACTTGGAATCTGCTCATGTCTGGCCATTTCTGCATGGTGGGATGCTTTGCATATGACTAGAACTGAGACTCCCTGGGATGGAATGTCATGTTGTGTTGATTGTGCTCATAAACTAATCACAATGACTGATGATGACCTCTAGACTGAAGGGGCAAAGGTCTGACTTCTTTCATAGGAAAAAATATTAGAAGAGAAGCGTGGCCCTTTGGGCCCCCACCCAAAGTGTATTGGAGGAGAAGGGGCCAGAAGGCCCTTAATTTTGGAGCAAGATGTCGTACCTTGAGGAACAGACCACTGAGGAAGGCCACAAAATAGCCCCTCTCTTCTCCCTGGCCAGAGAGCAGAGCATTTGGCCCGTTGATGACTTTGAGGAAAAAGGTGGAGGCTTTAGGAAAGACCAGACCAAGAAGACCATATAGTTGCCAAGCTAGAATTCAGTCAATCAACAAACATTTATTAAGCACCTCCTATGTGCCAGACACTCTGTGAGGTGCTAGGGATAAAAAGTGAAAAATGAGACAATCCCTGCCCTCAAGGAGCTTGCGTTCTTTTGGGGAATAAACAATACATACATAGACATTTTAGTTTCAAGAGCGATGCAAAGTATCTCCCAGACATTCCACAGGAAACCTCCCTCCAAGTTGACATGAAACCATCTGTCAGTGGGTCTCAATGTTCAGCCAGCTCTCAATCTGCTCATCTGGTTGTGCTGTCCTCCTTGGGTGAGACTGAGAATCCTTCGAAGGGGACGCTTTTCTGTTGAAAGTATTCATAAACTGAGAATTGCAGTGGCTGACAGGGACCTCCAGAGTGAAGAGACAAGTGTCTGGCCCACATCTCTCCATCTTTCCCACGAGATGATCAAGGCACGGTCCCTGCCCTCGCGTTCATATAGTGCTCGAAGGTTTGCAGAGTGCTTGTTGCATGCTGTCTGATTCAGCTGCCCCCATTTTACATATGAGGATACTGAGGCTCTCAGATCCAGCCGAATCGGTCTTCTCTCTGCTCTGCACAAGTGACGCTTTATTTCCTGTGTTTGTGCCTTCATGTTACTTTCAGCTATGTCTGACTCTCCATGGCCCCGTTTGGGGTTTTCTTAGCAGAGATACTGGAGGGGTTTGCCATTTCCTTCTCCAGCTCATTTGACAGGTGAGAAGACTGAGGCAAACAGCCTTAAGTGACTCGCCCAGGGTCACACAGCTAGGAAGTGTCTGAGGCTGGATTTGAACTCATGAAGACGTCTTTCTGACTCCAGGGCCAGTGGTCTGTGCACTGAATGTGGGGTCCTCTTTCTTCAAGATGTTGCTCAAGCACCATTTTCTGCATGAAATCTTTCTTGATTCCCCCCGCGATGGCTAGCTCCCTCCTTCTCAAACTACCTTAAATTTAACTACATTGTGTGTATGTATTTATTGCTATGCGTA